CCTTTTCTTGTATTTGAAAAATTATTACAAGAAGGATGCTATTCCTTATTGTTGCCAAAGAGTGAAAAAGTGAGATTTAGATTAAATATAAGAAATATTTCCTTATAGTGAATGTTTAAAGGCTTTGAGAAATAAGGTTGTAGAATATTGAGTGTGGCTGAAAATATTTTTGGCATGGTATAATGAAAAGATCAGCAACATTCTGAAATATTGCATTTCCTAATCCAAGGATTCAATGAGGGAACCCCAAGTTTTAGAACTAAGCCATGTCAATCCATTCTGTTTCCCCATCCAGTACACCGAACTAACCAACAGAAGCCCAGAATTCCCAGGCAGTCAACAACATTGCAATTGAGTACCTGTGTTTTGTAGAACCCTGTGAGATAGAGTCGGGGGTACAGTGGCAAGGGGGTATGTACTACAGAAATGGAAGCCAGTCCCCTCCTCTGTAGGACCTTGAGCAGATGTGCGCAAAGCAGTGCAGTAGCCCGTACCTCTTCATTCCCCCGTTGCCTTTTAGCAGTGTCCCGTTGCTTATTTACCAGTTTATACTTGACATATAAATAATGGCAAACTCTGGAAGATTGTAGGGCTTATTGTAAATTATCTTTTCTGTACATAGCACACTGGCAAAAACTAGCAGTGGCCACAGGTTTGGTGGATACTAAGAGATCATCTCAGTCATCTGTGATGTCGGTGAAGATTTTGACAGGCAGCTTGAGTTGGACAGAGCTGGGTCTGAATTCGGATTCCCCCACATTACCTAGCTGGGTGACCTTGACCACCTCTCTGAGCTTTTGATTCCTTTTCTATAAGGTGAATATTGCCACCCATCTTGAGGATTGTTTTGAAGGTTGATGATAGGACATAGTAGATATTCGATAATTAATAGTTATTATTGTTGTGTTTTAGAATTTTCCTTAGTAGAAACATACAATTTGGGTTAAGAGCAAAGTTCATTGTTTACTGTTCCTGTATTCCCTCCCAAAGAAAATCTAGAATGAGCATGGAAAATTGAGAAATGATAAAACCAGAGTAGTTTTTTAATTTTTAAGGGGATGTTTGGTATAAACCTATGTTCTGAGGTTAAGAGTCCATTCTTGTTATCATTTTTCCTTACCCCAGGTACAGATTGAAAGTTATTATAATTTAGAGTAAACAAATGATGAGGGGCTAATAAAATGTCCGTTTAGTTTTTCTTCCTCAAGGACACCACTTTGATACCAAGTTAGCGTGTGCTCAGGAACTAAGGGATATATAGAAATGGAGGCCTACTGATTAATACATCTCTTTTCTCCTAGCATCACCTGGCATACATGAATGCCTTCAAGAAACATGAAAAGGAAAAAAGGCATATTTGGATGAAAAGACTAAATATTATAAAGATTTCATTTCTTCCTAAGTTAAATTATAGATTTAATTCAATTCCAATGAAAATCCCAGTAGGAGTTATAAAAAAAAACATAGAAAAGAATATGTAAGTGAGAATAGCTTTGAAGAATGGAATATTTAAAATGATAAGCATGCTTAACCACACCAAATATTTTAAAATATTATAAAGTATCAGTAATTAAATTGGTTGGTATAATTCTAGGTCAGTTAGCAGACAGATCAAGGAATGGAATAGACAGAAATAGACCCTAGTATATATAAAATTTTAATATATGA